GGTCAAGGAGCGAGCGGGCGGGCGGGTGGGTGTGCGGGGACGGGTGGAAAGCCGAGCCGGCGTTCCCCTCCACCGCGCCCGTTTAATACCACGGTCCGCTGATGGGAGCGCCGTTGGCGGTGGATGTGTTGCATGTGTAACGTGCTCTGGGTTTTGTTTACTAATACAGTTTGACAGTGGCCCTCTGGGACAGGCGGGATCTGCTTCCACCACCTCCGCGCGCGTTGCAAAAGAGCTGGGAACGGACGGCAAAAGTTTAACTTTTCTTTCAGAAGGCGTTTTGCAGAACTTTGCCACCGTTTGGCGAGTTGCACAAGTACAAACAGCCGTCTCCTGCCGGCTTGGCACTCACATGACTCAGAGGAAGCTCAGCTGTAAACAAACGTGCTGCGATGAGCAGTTACCATGTTCCCACTCACTTTTGGTGCAACGGTCAGATAATTCCCTTTGCAAAATGGCCGCTGGGCATGCCTTCTCTGGGGAGCTGCGCTGGGGAGGTGTCGTCTCCTGACTCCAGCGTGCTCTCACCTCTTGCCTGTGATATTCTGAGGCTTTTGTTATTCTAGTGCGGTACCCATCTGCTGGCTGGCCCAACGTCTGCAGCGAGTATAAATTGGTGGAGTTCAGGCAAGTTCAGTGCTAATTTACACTGCCTTCACTCGTAGTCTCCTCCGATTCAAAGTGCTACTCCAGGGTCACGGTGTGAGTCGGAGCAACCCTGAGGACGTTGCTCCTGCCTGTAAGACCACCGTGGGGAGAGGTATTCCCAACAGCCAAGACGAGCTAGACTGCCCGAAGACAAGACAGCAGGAGCTAGGTTCTCCCAGCTCTGTGCCTCTGTCCTGGCCGGCGCACTCCTGACATCCATCTGCCCTGGCCAGGACCTTTCCTATGTGGGCACGTGCCCCGCTCGCTGCTTGTCACAGCCAGACAGGGAGCAGGAGCCTGGGGTGTTGGGTCACCGGCAGGAGGGAGAGGGAGGCTGCTGTGAAACACGGACAGCTTTGGGCTGGTGGGACGCTGATGTTTCGGGACCGCTTTCCTGGCCTGGGGCTGCTCTGGGGCTGCTCTGGGGCCGCTCTGGGGCCGGTGGGGGAGGATGCGGTGGGGGCTGCAGAGAGGGTTTGCTGTGCATGATGTCCTGCCGACCCTGGCAGACCCGGAGTTTGTCCGGGGGGAAGGAACGTGATCCAGGACAGCGAGCAGGGCGGGAGGTCAGGAAACCGTTGGGGATACAGCTGCCTTCGATGTGGTGCAAGCTGATCAGAGCCTGTACTGTAATCAGGGGCTTGACAAGGAAGCCGTTTATTTTGCATCCCCTCCATCCCTGGGGAACGGGGCAGTTTGTGGGTAGCGAGATCACCTCTCCCACTCTCTGTGACTCCACTCGTGTTCACGGGGACCCGGGGCAGGCTTTCTCGTGGCACGCCCAGTGTAGTTCGCAGCTCTCGCAGTGCCGTGAGCTCTGCCGTGCTTCCAGGGACAGCCGCAGTGGGTGCCAGCAGGGATGGCCGTGCCAGCCCAGCCCTCTAGCAGCTGGAGCAGTGCCATGACTGATCGGAGGGGGAGGTTTACAGGTTGAAGAAGGCGATTTGGAGTGTCTCTGGGTGAGGGCTGGCACTTTGCCTCCAGGGCCGCAGGTGCCAGCACTTTGGGAGAAGCCAGGGAGGGCCGCAGATACCTCCACCGTGGCTGGAACCCAGCAGGCTATCAGGGAGACATTTCAGAGTTTGCAGAGTCTCATGTCAGGCTGGGCTGAGCAGTGGGTCAGGCTCCTTCCCAGGTAGAAGAGTATTAATTGGCTTTGTTACGCCCTGATTGCCCCTGAGGCTGCTTGGGAAGGATAAGAAGACATCGGCTTTAAAAAAAACACCCATTCCTTCCTTTTTCCTGGTGCTAAGTGTTGTGTCTCTGTTCAGTGTAGTGAGGTTGTGTGTGGGAAATGAGGAGGAGCAGGTGTCTGGCTCTGCCCATTGTGTCCATGGTTGGATTTCCACTTCCTCTTCTGATTTATTTATGTTTTATCGAGCCCCTTTCCCTTTCCTCTGTGGCTCAAGGGCAGGGTGCCCCCAGCACCGTGCACGAGGCATGGGCTGATCCCCTGTGCTGGCATCCGATCCCCTGTGCTGGCAGCGGCTGCGGCTCACACGTGCAGCTGGGAAGCGGGTGCAAGTGCAGCTTGGGCAGTGATGGGCAGGGGATCAAACAGCACCCGGGGTCCTGTCTGAGCGGCTGCAGAGGGCTGGGTGTCCCGCTCCTCCAGGCTGAGTTTGTTCTGCTCAGCATCTAGGTCTCCTTGCGCTCACCTCCCCACCTGGCCCCTGCAGCCGTCCTCCCTCTGACTCGGTCACCGCGGGCGCTTCTTGGCACCCTGGCAGGATCTCTGTGTGATCCGCCTCCTGCGAAGCTCCTGTTTTTGCATCCTGGGGGGGACACGGTGGCCTGGTCGCCTGCCAAGCGTGGCCAGGCAGTGGGAGCGGGGCTGCCCTGCTCCCGCTCGCAGCCAGGGTGACACCGGCAGTGGGGCCTTTGGTCCAGGGTCAGGGCTGAGCTGTGGCTCGGGCTCCTTCTCAAGCGGAGGAGCCTTAATTGGCTTTGCTGTTGCACTGTTGCCCCCGGCACTTGTGATGCTGGCTGGAGACCAGGCAGCATCAGCAGCTTTGGTTACATGTGTGTCCCTGGCACCCTGTGCCACCGAGGATGTTGGCGCGTGGGCCTCTCGCCTGCCTGGGTTGGGGCTGCTGCAGGTCCTGGGGAGGTGGCAGCCATTCCCCGCAGCTGGAGGGACCCAAGCAGCGGGCGTTGTGGGCAGAGGGGTTGTTTCTGCCACGCTTGGAAATGGGCAGATGGAGGGGAGGAGACGCAGCAGTTTAGGCAGAGGGGCCTGCGATGGTGGAGTGCTTCCTCCACTCAGGTCATGGCTCTTATCCCAGCACCAGCAGGGATCGGTGGGCAGCTCAGGGGGACAGCGGGGACCTTCTCTGCCCCTGTCTGCCGATGGCACAGTCCCAGATACAAGGCCGCTTGGAGAATAGGAGCACAGAGCAGATTTAATCAGCTTATGGTATCTGGCTGTGCCCACACCTCTGCCTGTACTTCCCGTTCACCGTTTCCCCCCTTTCTTATCACGATCCTTTCTATCTGAGCGATAGCACGCGTGGGTGTTGACATCAGACCTCGCCCAGGACGAAGGGTAGCACGGTGATGGGGGTGTCGCTGCCTCAGAAGTGTCCGTGTCTCCGTGGGCCATTTCCTTGATTCATAGAGGTGTGCTGGCCTGTTCAGATCTGGTCTCTGGGGCCACAGCCCCTATTCCTGCTTTATGGCCGTCACTGAAATCCGATGGGTCCTGCCTGCGGGTGCCAAGGGCTCTCAGGTCGCAGCCTGGCTGGGTGCAGAGTTCGGGTACTGTGTTATTAAATGCAGACGGAGAAATGCAGCTATCATGGGGAAGAACCTCGCCAGCCCGGCTATTGCATGCTCCCCTGGAGGTCCGGGAGCTGCCAGACCCTACAGCAGCAATTGCTTCCCCCACCCAGGTCTGGATCATTGTTTGCAGATATCGCTCCTGGCTGCCACCTGATCTTGCTGACAGTTTACCCTCCTTTAGCCAGGAAACCATAAACCCCGCTGCAAGCGGCCGGCACTGGCTCTCCAGCTCCCCAGCGGGGAGAGTGCAGCCCCTTCACCTTTGCAGGGCCTGCCAGCCTGGGTGTTTTGGGGCAGAATAGTTTTCCATCAGACCGGTAAGCTGAGCTGACTTGTTCATCCCGTCCCCGGGTGTGACACAGGAGCGTGTGGCTGTGGGCACCGGGACGAGGAGTGTGTGTGGTGGTAGGACTGTGGCTGCTGCAGTCACGCAGGGTTTGGTACAACCTGCCTCTGCTTTTTCCAGGTTTTTATGCCTTTTTTTTTTTTTTTTTAAAGCAGCTTGGGGAGCCCCAATCACTGGCTCGCAGGAAGGGAGCAAAGGCTCAGGTGGTGTGGCAGTGTCTGGCTGCAGCCCCGTGCCTCGCACCCCGGCTTGTAGACCTGCAGGCCAGGCTGCCCCTGGGGAGGAGATTGAATGGGGGTTGATGGGGGAGGCTTTTCCTCCAGCCAGAACTGAATCCAAAACAATTCTCTAACATTTCTATCGAGTCTGATCTGCAAATGAATCAAAACATTGTTTTCTAGCCCAAACTCAGTTAAAGCCTGGCACAGAACAGGAGTCGGCTTCACCTTTGCCAGTCCTGCATCAGCCCAGTCCTGTGGGCCCCCAAAGCTCCCACTGCCTCCACTCCTCCCAGACCTGGGCTGGGTGTCTGCCCTCCCGGCCAGCCTGTGCCCCCGGCGTTCCCTCCCTGCAACCCCCCCTTGTCCTCTCGCATGCCTGTAGCATGTGACATTTACCAGATTATTACTGGTCTGAACTGGAAGCTAACCAAAAGTATGTCAGTCATAACGGTACCCCGCCTGCAACAGAATTGGAAATGCTCTGGTATATGGGGTGGGCTACTTGTTGCAGCCCCAGCCCTGGGGATCTCCCAGCGTGAATATGGTGACCGTGATCTTGTCCTGTTAAGGACACGCATCTAACCGGTTCCCGCTGGGCTTCCCCTGCTGGGTTTGGATTTGGTTTCCCTCCTCTCCCTGCACGCAGCGGTTGTGGAGCATCGCTGTGAGTTGTGAAATGCCTGCTGGGGTCCGCTCCAGCAGTGGCCGCCTCTCAGCAACGAGCATGGTGATCCCAAATATGTGTGATCCCTTCCTGCCTCCGTGCAAGCAGATGGCAGGCGTGGGTCCCTGCTTGGGGACATGGGAGCAGCTGTGCGCAGCGCTTTCCTGGGCGGGCAAGGGGGCTGCGGGCACGGCATCCAGCCCGCCGAGGCCTGTTTTGGATCATCTTTGGGGAACTGCAAAGCCCTGCCGTTGTGTGCAGGGGTGAGGTGGGTGCCCAGTTTGTGTGCTGGTGGTAACATCGTCTTCCTTTTTTTTTTTTTTAATTTTTTTTTGTTTGCAGGCTGCTCTCAGTGCTTTTTTCCAAGAAACAAATATCCCCTACAGCCACCACCATCAGATGGTAAGTGCTTTCCCACCTCTCCAGCGCTTGCCTGGGGCGCAGCACCAGCTGGCGGGTGCTTTGGGCAGTTGCTGATGCCCAGCTCGCTGCTTCGCAGCTCCAGGGGTGCAGGCAGGGAGGCCTGGCTGGGCACTGCCAGAGCTGCCTGCCAAGGAAGGTTTTCCTGGAGAGCAGCCAGGGGTGGCATAGCCTGTCCTACGCAGTGGGACAGCGGGTCCGGGAGTGCCCTCAGAACCCTGCAAAGGGGTTGGGGCTGCTCCTCAGGGAGGGATCGTCCGATGGAGGATGGTTTGGGCATGGCAAATGGTCCAGACCAGTCCCAACATGGCAGAGAGAGCCTGGGGGGGCCTGGAGCACCGGACCGTTGCAGGCTGTGTAAGCATGAGCAGAGATACGTGCACGCTGCCCAGCCGCACACGCCACTCCTCCTGTGCTTGCTGGAGCGACTGAACGTGCAAACCTCTGCCCCACTGGGGTGTGCGTCTAGTACAGCGTGCTCGCCTGGATGTGTGTAAACACACAAGGGCATGCATGTGCATGGGTGCTGCCTGCCGCCGCTTTCTCCCAGCTGTCCCCAGGCTTGGTCCCTTTAACTCTCGTGCCCTGGCAGCCCGTAATCTGCCTGGGCAGATGTGTCTTAGGGATTTGCTGGCTGCCACGGCCTCATTTGACTCTCCGGGACAACTGGGGATTTGGAGCATGCAGTAAGCGTTCAGAGCAAGTGCGCGGCAGGGCCTGAGCGCGCTCGGTCTCCTGTGGGGTGGGAGCTGAGCTTGAGCCTTGTGCCGGCTGAGCCAGAAAGCTGCAGGCCCACGGTGGCACCAGCGGGTCGTGGAGTAGAGGGGGTCCCCGACCTGGCCGGGCGCAGGAGCGGGTGCAGCGGGGTCCCATCTGGGCCCTCTGACAGGAGCTCTCACCACAGCATTAGTCTTCAGAGCCTTAAATAACTGCTGCTTGCAGGCAGCACCGTCAGCAGAGCGTGCGTCCGGGAGCTCCCATGTGCTGCAGCGGTGGGGGTAGAGGGGTCTTGTGCTGGGCCCTGGTGGGAGGCAAAAGGTGGAGACACACACACACCCCCCGCCTGACCCCGTGTCTCCTTCCCGCAGATGTGCACTCCTGCCAACACGCCGGCCCCGCC